ATTTGGTTTTACTCAGTAATCAACTTGCTGAGCTCTCTCCTAAAGTCGTCATTTGAAAGGCAGGCAATGATCTATATACAACACTGTGTGGCAAGATTCATTATCATGAGAAATGGGTACCAGTAGGAAAAAGATTACATAAATTAAGGTTTATTAGTACGATTGTTAGTATGATGTTTACAAGGAGTTTGTAATGATATGGAAAATTACACTAAAATATTAAACAAAACAAAGACATACAAAAAAACACAATCTGTTGATTAAAAGTAGACAACAAAAATATGCTAAACTATAACAGTTTGGTATTTGGGATGATTGTCAAAAATCTGGGGAATACAGAAAAATTAAAGAAGACAATTATAATGGACATGTAAAACACCTATAATCAGAAGAAAAACTGATTAATTAAAAAGAATGATTCAACAACTTATAATAATAGAAGAAGCATAGCTTAGGAGTAAAAGCTGATCTCTATCAGAGGAACACTAAAGACAGGGTTCCCAAAATTCTGGTAACGGCAATTGTCTTTGAGGAAGCATGAGAGTCCCATCTAAGTCTTCACTGTCAGTATATCCTGTCCAAGTGGGATAACCAAACTTCCCATGGAAACTACTCACGATTTTACCAGGCAATTTGGAATTGTCCCTAATGGATTTCCAAAGTAATCTGAGTTGGCTATCCACAAGCAAAGAATACTCAGAGATAAATGTCCTGGAAGCAGAGGTGACCTTGGAAATTTCTGAACATTTCTGAGTAATATTATGATTATTTGGTACAATGACAAGAGAAAATGGTGAAAGTATGGGGAAGAAATATTTCAGCTAAATAGCAATAAGTTGTTGGTGATAGAAAACATGCTGCACTTAATAACATCTTTATCTAAGAAGTTTAAAGCACTTAACATTAATCATTATGATGTTCATTGGAGGGGTGGGAGCCAAATCAGCATACTCAGTGCATAATCTTTAGTTACAAGGAAGAATAATGGCTTCGGTAACTAAAATTCTAAATTTCACAAAGGATTCTTTCAAACCATACTTTTTAGTATTGCTGTTGGCAAATTGGAGTGACAGATTTTAATTTTAGCTTATCTTACTTCCCCTGATGCCAGCAACCGGGCAAATGACCCTAAATAGACTTTAGTGCAAAATTAGTGGGCATTCTAAACCTGCACATAATTCAATTCAATTTGCCAAATACTTATTGAATACAAACAAAAAAGTACAAACATCCAATAAGCCTAGGTCCCTGAGCTTTGCAGGGTGAAAAAAGAAGTCAAAGAAGCCTTGATAACATTGCATAATTAATTGTATAGTCATTGGCAGCATCCTCATTTTCTTGGGGATCAATTAAAGCTGGAGAGGGGCACAGAACAGGAGCATTCAAGGAAATTCAGAACACAGGTAAAGCCCAATAGGACAATACCCTACTATGCATGAATAACAAACATTTGAGGACCCACGAGGTACCAAGCTCTGTTGTAGGTACTAGGGATACAGCAGGCATCAAGACAAAGTCTTTGCTCTCATGAAGTCTGCACTAGTGGACATGCTTACTACATGCCAAGGACTAGGTAAAGTAACTCACACGACACCTTAAAACCAAATAAATACCTGCAAATGACGACAATTATTTCTCAGTAAATTGGATATTTGAAAGGACAAGATTAGCAACTTTACTTTGTTAAGAATGAAATGTAATGGAATTTGAAACCAGGAATCAGACCTGGGGCAGAGAAAGATGGATATGCCCCAATTCCAAGAGAGGGGGCAGGGAAGGACAGACAGCTTAAAAGCAAAGTCTCACAATGACTTTTTCTCTACTGATACTCAGGCAACCTCAAAGTGGTGGCTGATGAAACAAAAGGACTCAGAGAATTCTTTTTCAGATTCTCCAATTTCTACAGAACAACGATTATTTCCTAAGCCATATGTGTCACAGAGTAAGCCTCCTTACCCTATCAGGCCAGCCAGCCAGCTGCCCACAATTACCCTAGGCATCCTACCGAGGCCATATTCTGAGTCAGAAATGAGTTTCCTGGTAAGTCACAGAAGTATGTTAATGGTCTCATGAAACACACAGATATACACACAGTACATACACATTCACACATGTACCTATATGAACATATAGGTATGGGTGCATATGTGTGCACATAAGTGCATATATTTCAGTGTATGTATGTATGGGTGTAGATAGGTAGGTACATAGGTAGGTAAATAGCTCCTCTCTGGCTGACAAAGGACAGAGAACTAGGTCACAGTTCAAAACCTATTTGCCCATTTTCTCTAGAGTGAATCATACTTTTCCACATAACAAGAGGGCATTTTTCCACTAGGTGGAGAGAGAAGGAAAGAAGCAATATCCCGTATGACACGCTATATAAGTAGCATACTTATACATATTCTAACGTGCCCCCATCACAAACTGCCTCCTCCCCACCTAAATAAGAGCCTTCCTAGTCTAGAGGGTTGAAGCACATCACATATATATTTTTTTAATTGAGTTCTTAGGTCAAATACTAAAAAGTACATAGTGTGTGATTCTATTTATAAAAACACATTAGAACACTGGCAAAATTAATCTATCCTGCTAGAAATCAAGACAGTGGTTACCTTTTGTGCAGGAATAATCTTAGGAGAGTGGCACAAGCGCTTAGAATGGTCTACTTACTGATCCAGGTGCTGGTGTTCCCTTCGTGCAGAATCAGCAACGTATACACTTACATGCACTATGCTGCATGCATATTATATTTTAATAGAAAGTGGTTTTTAAATTTAGCTTCCTAATAATTTGTGGTTTGTCACTAATTTATATTTATCTCTGCCTGAGACACTACCTAGAAATTATTCAAAACCATACAATTTTCTCTAGCCAATTTGTAGACCAATAAATATAAACTAATGAATTCTACAAGACTTATTAGCCTTTCCTAATTGCATCATTGATCAAATAGCACCTCCAGGCAGTTATATAAAGCCACTTTCAAATCAATTATTGGAAAAAAATTACTTAATTATATGTAGAGGAGTACCTTTTACCAAACCTGCAAGCTAGCAATCCTTTGACGCATGGGAACATGGGAGAGAAGTCTCATTAGTGTATACAAGATTTTTGAAAATATATTTTTAAATCCTTCTTAAGAGTTCCATAAATGATTATAACTCAAAGCAAATGAAAGCCATACTTTTGCTACCACAAGACTGGTGAGTCAAATCTATTTTTTATCTTTATTTCTTTTCTTGAAATGGTAAATACAAATGATAATAATAAAAGAGAAATTCCATAGAACAGAGGAAATTGGGAGCAAGTAAATCTCCAGCAATACAACCTAAGAGGGCCCTGCCCTCCTCTCTTCCACACTGCCACTCATCTCCCTCCTGCCAATGGAAGCACACCTGTACTACTTTCTCCCCTGCAGGAAAGGGCCACCAAAGGAAGCGACAGCAGCAAAAGGACAGGACCAAAGTACAGACAGGGCCTCTGACATGACACCATGCTGATCGTATCTGAAAATTTACTCAAAGCAACATATTTTATTCCTTTGGTAGAATGGGTAATCTTAAAACAGCTTCTTAATCTGCATATTGAAAAGTTGGGATGTTTAAGTAATCAGATGCTTAAGTAATAAAAAGTAAGATAGCCTTCTTTTCCCGATTTGTGAAAAAAAATTCCTTATTTAAAAAACATACATTGATGGCTGAATGCTATCAACTGCAAATGACAAATGTCTCTTCATAGACACTACATTCTTAAGCAGTTCTCAGTCCCTCTCCTCCCGTGTCCTTCTCTTACTGGGGAGGGCTAACCCCAGGGAAGAGTTCCAACAATGCTAAGCACTGAGTAGGAGCATTCTGACATAGGCTGCTGTCCAGCTACACAGACACCTCTGGACCTGGATCTTGGGGCCCCTCCACTAGCTTACATGTATGGAGTTCCCCCTAGCTCTCCACTATGCACTACAGCAGGTAGCTGTGTAACTTCTCAAGGTTCATTTTCTTCAAATCTAAAATAGGCATCATTGTGCCCCCACCTCATGGTGTGGTTGTGAGAATTAGATGACAAAATGCACATACAGCAATTAACACTGTGCATGGCACACAGCACATGGGCAATGACGTGTAACTGTGTTTGCAGTAATAAAAACTTGTGGTCTAAAAGATGACTTTACAGTATCACTTGACAAATACAGAATTTACAGAGACTAATACTCTGCCACAAAGAGAGGCTGTCCAAAGTAACCCAAGTTGAATGTGTATGAAAAGACTCTGAATGGAGCCTGGCTTCTCGCCAGATGACTTTCAGTCTCTGAATTCAGAACAAGTATATTACTATAAACAGCTTCAAAAAAGACCATGGACTTTGGAGTGACCTGTTACAAGTCACACTCTCTGAGCCTCAGTCTTCTCATCCATAAAATGGGAATAATTCCCACAGCATCAGGGAATACTGAGGTTTTCAGACGTTATTTACAAAAGCCCTCATAGTATCTTGCACATTAGTAGATAATTATTAGAAAGCAGATGGAATAAGAGAAGTCATCAGAGTGTTTATTCAAAGCTGGAAAATTTTTAGAGAAAGATTTCCATCCTCTGTACTTTATGTTTCCCTTCTTTGTAGCATTCTTATACTTTGCCTTCTGTTCTAATCAAATGTGTTCTTCCTAATGCCACACCAGTTGATTTGATTTGATTATCTCCATATCTTCTTCCAGCCCCTACATCACCCTCCAAGTACCTACCAGTGCCTTGTCCAATGACAGTAATAAATTGATGCTTGAGAAGTCCAATAGCAGGAGAATTTTTACATCACTCTAAAACTCAGCCTGAGGAAAGTGGGACCCTTCACCAAAAAGACGAAGAGAAGAACAGAAATATTCCTGGACTACAAATTTTTGTTTAACCACCAATGGGAGAAATTTCAGAAAGAATATTTTGTGTAGCTTACTTCATTCCTTACTTTCTACTAAGATAAGAGTGACATCTGAGAACAAGGCTTACCTATTTGCACCATTTCTTCATTACCAGCCTGGAAAGGAGGGGGAAAGTAAGAAAAAGAAACAGTTACTGGGTTTCATCTTATCACCTTGTGCGTTTTATTTCTACCACTAATGCTTTTCAGGAGCTAGCTAATCAGGAAATGCTGGAGACCGGGATTGGTGCCTAAGGCTGCACCTCCGTTTGTAGAAGGTTCTTGTGACAGGAGCATGAGCCAATTCAAAAACAATTTGGGGCAGGGAGTTGTTTGTCCGTCTTAATATTAATTTAACATTTATGAGGCCAACAAAAACAAATACTGACACTCAATATTCTTTTCTGAAAACTCCAGATACTGGGTCAGGATTAGAAAAGAAAGTCTCTGTATTTATACGTGCAAAAAGAAACCTACAAAGGGGGCCTGATGTATCATATTTGAGGTCAGGAATCAACTAGACAATTCTCTATGTTTTACCCTATGGTCAGACCAGGCAGACCAGAGAAGCTACAAAAACTCACAGAGAGAAATTCTGTGCCCAAAGTCCCACCAGCCCTGTGCTGATGTGATTTACTACAAACGGCTCGGCTTGTCGCGCTGAGCCTTCTCAAGGACTCTTCTCAGAGCATCGGGCTTCACCTTGAGTCTCCAAAGGGTGGGGGCTGGGCCGAAAAGAAACAGAGCTGCACTCAACTTAGCTTTAAAAAGAGGAGGAGTCGTGCAGAGGGGGAGGGGAGAAAAGGGGCAGGCGCCTCCAGCTTCTGCCCAGGAAAAAGCAGGGCAGGAAACGTCCCCAACCCCCCTCCCCAACTGTCAAACCCCAGCCCGGCCGCGGTCCTCCCAGGACACGTGTCTACTGGATCGCTCCCTGTCCGGCCCAAGGACTTCCTGAAACCCCCGCCTCCGGCTGCCCGAAAAAGCTGTGAGTCAGTAAGCAGGAGAGAAAGCCCCGCGAGCTCGACTCCAGCAGCAGCCACCGGGGCACTGGGATCCCGGACCCGGCGGCCAGAACTTCATTCAAGCGCCCAGACCGCCCTCCGGAAAGGGGAAACCCAGACGGCCCGGCGAGGATGCGAACTGGCTGCAGTTTGTCACCAGGAATTGTTAAGATTGCTGCAAAGTGGTGAAGCCCTAGGTGTGACAAGCCTGGGCTCCCGGAGTGGGAGGCAAACCCTCCCGTGCAATTCAACCGCCCACCCCAAACGCCCCGCACGCTGCGCCCAGCCCTCAAAACACCGCTCCTGAACGCACCAGATAACAGGGAAGGGTGGGAGGGGGAGGAGGAGAGAGAGGAGGGGAAAGAGGGGAGGAACTTTTTCGGGAAAAGGTTGGGTTTGAGTTTTTTATTGTTATTATTTTCCACTTACTTGTCCATCAGCTGAAGTCCTAACCTCTACCAGAGCGGCTGCTATCAACCAAAGTGACAGGAGAACCATCACGAGTCGAGTTCACTTTTCAACTACTGGGCAAGGCAAATGCCCAGAGCAACCCCCCCCAAAATAAGTTTCTTAAAAAAAAAAAAAAATTAAAAAGGAAAAAATGCAGAATAAAAAAAAACTGCTCTTCTGTGCTTTGCTTCAATGAAAATGAAATCTGAGCTCTGAGACGGGCCCCCTCTGCTCTGCAGTTCTTTCCACTTCACCTTCTCACCCCGTCCTCCCAAACAGAGCGTGCAGGAGCGAGAAGGTGCTGCGCCGGGCACGGGCTGCGCCGGGAGAGGGGGAAGGGACGAGGGGCTTCCAACTATCTCTGCCCAAAGCGGCTTTTTCTAGGCTTTTCGAGCACCATTGGTCCCTAAGGTTAGCGCTGAGAATGCTTGGGTTCCGTGGAGCACAGCAGGGGGAAGTATCAGCGAGAGAGACGAGCGAGCGGGAGCGGGAGAAAGAGGCAGGGAGAGGGCGACTCCGCCGCTCGCGCAGAGGTGGGGCGGGAGGAGGGGAGGGGAGGAGGCGGAGGCGGTGCGAGGAGGGGGCCGCTCGCCGGCTCCCGTGGCTCGCAGAGCGGCCGTCTGCTCTCGGCCGGCGACCCGCGGGGCGCTAATAAGGCGGCCCGAGCCCCCGGGCACCCCTCCCGCGCGGCGCCCACGTCACGCGGGGCCGGGTCCCGCGCCCCCCTCGCCCGCCCGGGAGGCCGGGGCGGGCGCCGCCGGCGCGGGAGGACCGGGAGGAGTGGGGAGGCTGGAGCCGGAGCCGGCGCCGGCCCCGGGCAAGGTCAGGGTTTGAAACCGCGCGGAGGCTGCCGTGGCCCGTGCTCGAGCCACCCCCGGGACCCCCTCCTTCCCCGCGAGGCGGGCGACCGACGGGAGGCGGCGGTCCAGGGGAGCTGCCGGGAGAGCGCCGGTCTGGCCTGGTGGGATGGCTGTTGAGTTAATTATAGGAAGGAGGAGGGTCCAGCGGCGGTCCTGGACTTTAGGAAAGTCACCTCCTCCGACCTCCACTGCCCTCCCAGCCGGGAAAACGTCAGCCAGCAGAGACCTCCTGGAACCCCCAGGTCTTAACGACTTGGTTCTCTCCCCTCCAGACACCAGTCGCTTCCCACGTTTTGTGGGGGTGGTCCCTCCCCCCTTTAAGTTCTTGTTTATGCTTTATTCGTTTATATTAGTTTGAAAAGATATCATATCTCTTCCTTGACTCACCCGGATGCGGCCGTTTATCACTAGAGTACACAGGCCTCAGCGTCTCTTCCTCTCACCCAGATTAAGTTATCAAATGATTTCTGCCCAGTGTGGCTCGGAGCTTCCTGGGAGAAGATGACACCATGGGCTCCCGAGACTGGAGACAAGTTTGCTGGGATTCAAGCCCAAGCCTACTTCCCTGGGGTTGACTCCTGTGGGCGCTTTCCAGGGAGCAGAGGGATGGGAAAGGAGCTCCCTCCAACCTGTGCTGACCAGTTTCTAACACTCCCTCCCAAGAACAGATGATGAAAGAGGCGTGAATAGGCACAAATTTAGGTATAAGCTTCAAGACTTCAGCTGGAAAGAGTCTTGCAGAGGCCTGTCTAAAATAAAATGCGTAGAAGCTAATGTTTGTTTTGCTGAGGGATGCTTCCATGTCATAGTTCCTTTTCTTTTTGAAAAACGGTGTGAGTTTGAAGGGTTTCCTGTACTTTGATTCATTATTTAAAGGTTGCCTCTTTAACTTACACTTTGTAAGATTTTGTGTTCACTGATGTATTATCTGCTGTCTTTTCAAAATCATGTATACAGAACACTTACTGCCCAAATGAGAAACCAGATAACTGAATGGCCCCACCTAGTAATCGAGGGATTAGATTAGTTAATTATTAATTGGAATTATAATTAGACTCCAGCACTGAAGTATCTCTACATTACTTTTTTCCATCAATTAAAGCCTTCAGCACTTTTGTAACTGGTCACAGACTTGCTATCTGGGAGTGATTTGCTGAATTTTGTGCCTAGTTTTCTTCTTCATTAAAAAGAAATAATCCTCATGTTCTATAAATAAAAATTACGTCAATTTTTGCTGACAAGAAAAAGAATACTAGAATACAAATCAGAAAACCTGGGTTCTAGGCCCAGCTAACAGCTGTCTGACCTTGACATGTCACTAAAATTCTATTTTGGTTTTCCCACTATGAGATATTTCAGCTCTAAAATCCTCTAATTTTGAGTAATAACAAATACTATATTTAGCCATGCATTACAGTAGTCCTTTTTGTGTTAATTTTACAAAGTTCAGACATTTGTTATCCCCGAAACTCCTGCCACAACAAGCAATTCATGTGACTTTCATGAAAGCAGTGGCTTTAGACATTTTTGGCCATGACCACAGAAAGAAATGTATTTTACATTGTGACTCAGTAAAAATTTCATGATTCAGTACTTACTACATGCAACAACCCTGATATTTTCTATCCTATTTGTTTTCTTTTGGGGTTCCTCCCCCCAAATACTGGTCAGTATCCACTTCATTGATTTCCCAACCCAATGAGTCATGACGCTCATTCTGACAAATGTTGATCTGAGAGCACATGATAAGATTTCTATTTCTTGCATTCTAAATGAGTTGAGTTCTGATTAATAGGATCTCCCAATATACTCTAAGAAAAAACTTCCCAAAGTGTGTCCTGGAATGTTAAATATTTTACAAAAAAAAAAAAAAAGAGTTTTCTGAGAGTCCACTAAAGTTTGTGAAATACTCAGATAAACAAAATGAAACAGATTTCTTTATTTCTGCGCTACACAGGGATTTTAATATCCTAAATGCGTTGTGAGTCTTCAAAAGGAAGATGTGCACTTTGGTCCTCATACTGATGTAACCACAGAATGCTTTTTTTCTCATGCTTTATCCTCTGAGGAACGCACTTGGGGAAATGCCATTACAAAGACCAATTATTCGAGTAAAATGAACTTTGAGTCAGATAGGTAGGATTCACATGCAGATTCAGCCTCAGTTTTCTCAACTCTAGAATCAGTTTAATAATACTGCTTTTGTGAAATGCTTATGAAAACTAGCATAATCTTGCATGTAAACTATCTACCACATTGTCTAGAACATAGTGAGGGCTTAAATACAGACTTTTTTTAGATGAAACTCTATGGCATGTGTACAGATGGCTCACTGATAAGGAAATATGGCAAGTTCTAAGAAAAGTAGAAAATTACAAACAGCTAAAATGTGATGAACTTTTAATTTTGCTAGAGGAAATGTTAGGAATCAAAGGCAAAGAATCAGTGAATTTCTTCCACAAACTGACATCTACTGCCTGCCTAGCATCAAATCTCTCCCCTTCCCTCCGTGTTTCTTTGCCTCCAGCTACAACGTTCTTTCCCACACTCATGTCTGCACACTTGTTCCTGATGATTTTTCAGTTATACCCTTCCTCTTCCTGTCTGCAAAGCAAATGACATCATATTACAGGAGATGCTAAGAGGTGCTCCACAAAAATACTAAACCAATGCTTGTAGTATATTCTCTTCCAAAGTATGTTTTAAGTAGAGAAATAATTTCAAAGGTAATCAGATGCCTATAGTCCCTCTAAATGTGAAATCATCCCTTTTAAGACTTAAAGTTTCATGAAATCAGTTGCTATATGGACGTTTTAATCTGTGCATCCTTGTATTGGCAGCAATTAACTAAGCAGAGAGGTGTGTATGTGTTTTCTGTTTGAGGCCGATGGTCAATGTTGTGTATCTTGTCATAACTTGACATTTTGATACCCAATCTTTATGGTGCATTAAACATATAGTTAAAAATTGTGTCACTTCTTGCAACAAAGAATTCATTTCTAAGTTTGTTATTGTTTTTCCTGTTTACTTTTCCCATACTTTTTAAATTGACTTTATTTTTGTAGAGCAGTTTAAAGCTTACAGGAGGACTGAGGGGGAGATACAAAGATTTCCCATATACCCTCCACCTCTGTGCATGCTAGGCTCACTTATTATCAACATTCCCCAAAGTGTAATAAAAGGGTGATGAACCTACACTGATGAACTTACATTGACACATCATAATCACCCAACCTACAGTTGATGTTGTGATTCACTCTTGTTTTTGTACATTCTGTGGATTTGGACAAATGTATAATGATGTGTATCCATCATTATAATATGATACAGAGTGTTTTCATTGCCCTAAAAATCCTCTGAGCTCCACCTATTCATCCCTTTCCAACCCCCAATGCATGGCAACCACTGATCTTTTTTACTGTCTCCATAGCTTGGCCTTTTCTAGAATGTCATATAATTGGGATCATGAAGTATATAGCCTTTTTAGATTGGCTTTTTTCACTTAGCAATATGCATTTAAGGTTTCTCCATGTCTTTGCATAGCTTGATAACTCATTTCTTTTTAGCACTGAGTAATATTCCATTGTCTGGATGTACCGCAGTTTATTTATCCATTCACCTACTGAAGGACATCTTGGTTGCTTCCAAGTTTTGACAGTTACAAATAAAACTGCTAGAAGCATCTATGTGCAGGTTTTTGTGTGGATGCAAGTTTTAAACTCCTTTGGGTAAACACCAAGAAGCATGATTGGTGGATCATATGGTAAGAGTACAATTTTGTAAGACATTGCCAAACTGTCTTCCAAAATGGCTGCACTATTTTGCATTCTCACCAGCAATGAATGAGAGTTGCTTCATATCCTAGGCAGCATTTGCTGTCAGTTTCCAGATTTTGGCCATTCTAATAGGTGTGTTGTGGTATCTCATTGTTGTTTTAATTTACATTTCACTCATAGCATGAGGTGGAACATCTTTCATATGCTTATTTGCCATCTGTATATCTTCTTTGGTAAGGTCTCTATTAAGGTCTTTGGCCCACTTTTTAATTGGATTGCCTGTTTTCTTTTTGTTGACTTCTAAGAGTTCTTTGTATATTTTAGATAACAGTCCTTTATTTTTCTTTTATTTGCAAAAAATCTTTTGCAAATATTTTCTCCCAGTCTGTGTTTTGTCTTCTCATTCTGTTGACCTTGTCTTTCACAGAGAAGTTTTTAATTTTAATGAAGTACTTTCCCACACTTTTGATATATCTAATGACCTCTTGTCAATATTCATTAGATAGATTATAATTTTTTTCCCATGGTCAAGTAAATCTGAGAAATTCTCTATTCAAGTTTGTTCAGAGTGGGTAACCACAAAACTTGATTGCATCATAATTGGCTAGGTTTATGTCCACCTCCTCTAAATTCAAAGTTCCATGAGGGCATTGACCTCTGCTTTATTCCCTTTCAATTACAAGTATTAGCACAATTTCCATCCCATAGAAGTTGCAGAGAACTTTAACTACTACACCCTGAGCATGTCCAGGGAAAATCATGTCCTTTTTTCCCTTACCTGATAATGAGCTTTATTCCAGGTCCTGGGATTCTTGACACCTACAACTAACACAGAGAAATATTAGAGTAGGTACGTGGCATTCACCACTATAGGACCATGAAAGCTGGGCCTATTGGCCATCTTCTCCACCTTTGCACCCTCTATAGCCTCAAAGAACATAGCCACAAGACTTGCAAAATGAGAAAATGGGGCTGGCTGATAGTAGCGCATATAGAATTACTTTATTGCTCACTGAGGACAAAAGTCTTCCTCCCACATAGCACCCTCCCTTGTTTTACGTAATACTGACTTTTCATTTGTGGATCTGAGAATCAAGCATGCGGTATGCACATTACTATTATTATTATTTTTTTAACCAAGGCATTAGGTTGGTTGGGTGTTAGCATACTAACCTTTTATACACATGGAATAGAGCCTGGCACATAGTAGGCACTCAAAGAATGTTTGCTGAATGAATGAGGGAGTGAATATTTACTGTCTCTGCTTAACAGAGTGAAATGAATAGGTTTTCTTTTCCTCCTTCTATCAGTGAATAAACTATTTCCAACTTGGACCTTTTTCACACGAGTTTTTGGAAGTCCCATTAAAAGAAAAGAAAATTAAACAGGAAAATTTATGAATACAATGGTCAAGAAATTCGAAATGGAAAAGCCCTACTAGGGCATCTAGTTCATGCTTGGGCTGTGCACAAGGCAGTGTTGTTCCCACAGTTTTTTCCTTAGAGGAAAACCAATATCTTACAAGAATAAATTCAGAAATCCAGGATTTTTTCATTTAATCATTTGCTTTTAGAAGACTAGTTCTACCATGGGACAAGACGTGAGGGAAAATTATTCCTCATGTTCCTTGATTTCCCTCCTTTTTCTTGATTTGGGATTGTTCATTGCACCCTTATCTTTGCTTAGCCTCGTAAATAGGCTTCTTTCTTTCCTTGATAAAGTTTGGCTTAACAATTAATATATTTAACTGTTAGTACCCAATTGACAGAAAGAGATATTGTTGTTTACCTTCCACTGTTTTTTATAATCTTTCTGTTTTTCTTCAAGTCTTTAAATATTTTTTGCTTGGAAACTCTGGATGGTAATAGAAGATCAGAGTCTTCCTGGGGTTTAAACAGAAATAAGGGAGCAATTAAAATTTTAAATTTTTCCAAGTGTTGCTTTATATGGCATCAAGTTACAGCTATTTTACTAGCAAAGCATTCAGAATTATAATCAGATTACATTGCATTTATGCCTTGATTTTTCTCTTGGTAGCTCGAGGAGCTCTAATTTAATGGAACTCAGGATAAAATAGTTGCCTATTTAGAACTATTGAATGTAGTCAATGTGTTCTCTTGGAGAGGCAAAGGTTCAAAATCAGAGATGTGGCAATAGTCGACCATTCAATAAATGTATGATAAACTTAATTAAATAGCTAACCAACTCCTACAGTTATACCAGTGCCTGTATTTTGAAGTAGCACTAAATTGTTAACTTCAGAACTGTATGTTTTTTTCTGTAATTCTCAACTCAGTGCTACAAAACATTTGGGGGTTACCTTGAAGTACAAAAGACTGAAAATTACCATTAAAAAAAAATGAGAGTAGGAGTCGCCATTTTCAATGGGACTCAATAGAGAGATCTAGCAAATTAGCAGTTACCGTTCATAAACTGGATTCTCTTATAGGAGAGTATAGGTTACCTTCAAGTCAGAAACTTAATTAAGTGTTCTGGGTTTACACTACAGTCCAACTAAGATGAAGTGGGTCTATGTGGAAAAAAGCTATATTAAAATTACATTTGAGAGAATCCCTCCACTTAAGTAAGTGTTGTTACTGCTAATTAACAAAGCAAGCTCGGTAAGATTTTCTGTAGATTTTTGAGATTAGGATACTCAGCTCTTTCCATGCTGTCTGAAAGCAGAGAAATAGAGTGAGATATCTTCTGGGTGCTCAATCTAACGACTACACAGAAAACTACGGTTCTTCTATATGGTGAGGTGCAAGATATTTTGCACATCGTTGCAGTACATTGAAGCTAACACAGAGAGTTTACATGTTATTATTAATTTTCTAAACCCTTATATTATTTGTCCATCGACTGGCAAAGTTTTCACAAAATGTTTATAAGGTTTTGTGTTTTTTTTTTAATAAGGGAAAAACAAACAAACTTTGCATTCCATTGAGTTACCAAAAGTCATCCCCAATTTTACCTCATAAAAACAACTTTTCAATAAGATCAATTCTTTAGTTCTCAGAGTGTTATATGCATTCGTTAAGGTTGCAATTAACTTTTTCCAGACTTGTATTAGGAATAATTTGAGTAGAGAAAATGGGCAGAAGAAAACAATCCACCAAAGAAATGAAAAATTTGTTATGAAATCAACAACGAGTCCTAGACTGTCTCTCCTTAAGAAGAAAACAATTCAAAATCTTAGAATCTAGCTTTTTAGGAAGAAAAATGAAAACAAAACAAAAACTGAACTCTGTTTCACAAGGAAGGTTTGGATTTTTATCTGAATAGATTATCAGCCAGATCATAAACCAGAAATTGTTGTCAAGCTAGAAATTGTTGCTGCTCTTATTAGGATGCTATTATTACAAAAGCTCACTTATTTTAAGAAAAAACCCACTAAGATTTATGTCTAGGGTCTTTATTCTATTATTGTCACACTAAACAAAGCAAGAACCCAGAAGCTACCACCATTCTGGCAAATTCAAATGATAAATGCTTAGTGGAGACAGTTCGAATGTGAAACTATAGAACCATTTTAGCAGTCCTATGCCATCTCAAAGAGACATGAATGTTTCAGAAAGAACTTTTGCCATCATTGTAACTTAACACGGAATCAAATATTCTAATGACATTTTAATGCTTTTTACACATTAGGAAAAAATAGAAATATTTATTCTCAAGTTTATTTTTATCAATAATTCAAATTATTAATGCCATAAGGAAGTAATGCAAGTCTATATACTTCAGTTAATTCTCAAATCTGTTGCCTTAGTAAAAAAGCAAAAATTCCAATCTTTGAACGATATATCTGCTTTTGACAATCCATGCTGAAAACATGTGTCTCCATTTACTGTGCAGTTTTGTTCCCACTATTAGAAATGTTAGATGCACGTAAGAAGTTGACCTGCGGAGGTTTTTCAAAAATCCATGTGTTAAGTGCAACTCCCAGCTATTCTGATTCAGTAGATGTACTGTGGAAATTTGGCATCTATATTTTTCCCAAGATTCACAGATAATTTAGTCTAAATTGTATCTAAAGATGTGCTATTCAAACTTCCTAATACATGAAAATTCTGATTCAGTAAATTCGAGGTGGGGCAGTTCTAACAAGTTCCCAGGTGTTGGTGACAGGGCTGGTCCTCAGAAAACACTGAGCTGCAACACCCTAGGACATACTATTCATAGATAATTACAGAAAATAGGAACCACGTGACATTAAAACCAGGCATGAGCTATTTAGAACAACGTCTAATTTTGTCCCCTATTCCTTGCTAAACATCCATTATACACAATCAACATATAATTTAGAACTGGGTAGAAATAAGCCCAGGAAAGCATCTCTGTGGCATTGATTAGGAGATTAAATGTGCTTTTACTAAAATGTCCCTGAGCCACGTGCTTTCTTACACAGTGAGCACGTTAAATAAAATCAGTTAAAGAAAGGTTAATTATTAATTTTTAAAAAATAAATCACAGTCCACAATCTACAATCACTCTCTGGAATGTTTGGTGCCCACAGGAGCTCAACAGACATTTTCTTTTGAGGTGCTACATTTCTGAACTGGTCGTGCAATGAGCATCCTGAACTGAGGATGGAGATGTGCCTATGATTTGCGCTCTGTTGACAGTTTACCCAAAATAAGTATTAGAATTCAAAGAGCTGTCTGAGGTCATTTATCTTTAAGAAAAAGAAGCTGAAGGACTTAATTGATTTGTTGTTAGTGCCATCGAGTCGATTCCGACTCCTAGCGACCCTGTGTACAGCAGAGTGGAGCCCTGCCCCATCTTTTTGTGCCATTCTCTCACCTGCACTATATCAGACAGTGTTCTGCTACTATTCATACAGTTTTCACGGCCAATTTTTTCAGAAATGGGTGGCCAGTTCCTTCTTCTTTGCCTGTCTTAGTCTGGAAGCTCCGCTGAAACCTGTCCACCATGGGTGACCCTGCTGGTACTTGAAATACCGGTGGCATAGCTTTCAGCATCACAGCAACACATAGCTGCCACAGTGTGACAACTTAGTTGATGCTCTTATTGAAAGACTAACCACAAAGCACTCTCAATATACTGTAGTTTGAAGGTCTTACATTAATTATGAAATGCTTTGATTGATACGAGTCTGTAAATCTTAAGTAATTCTAATATTCTAGCATATGTTTCAAGCCCCCATAGAACGTTTCTTAGATTCAAAATACCTGCTTTTCTCTTATACCCGTATAATAAGGCCTCTTTAACTCCTGTTTCTGGGTATATAGAGTCCCATTAGTCCCTTTGATCACTTTAGAAAATGCTGTTCTTTCATCCCCTATGAGAATAGACGAAGTGTTCTCTTTATTAATAAGCAGATAGAGATAAGCCTTATTAAGAGAGTATTCTATAACAGACGTTAACTACCTACGAAGCAGCACATAATTATTGTTGTGCTCTCATTATTCTGTTTTACTATATTACCCCCTCGATGCTTCCCTTCATGACACACACACACTAAGTTTTGTGTTCCCTTGCTTCAAGGAAAAGCTAAAAAGAGAAAGAAACATCCTACAAACAGCTCATCATTCTGGCTCTTATTTCCCAGAATCTTGAAGTTAGAAAAGTAGGTGACTGATTGGTGAAAGAGGCAGAGACAGAGATTTTGGAATTTAGGTTTCCATAAGGCCTGGGGAGCCAAGGTCCATGGAGACAGCAAGGTCTTGGAGGGGAAGGGCTGTTGCTGGGCCTGAGGAAGCTGTGACCTGGGCACCTGTGCCCCGTACTGAACCACAAAGGCTGGGACAGAGGGAGTCTCAAAGGTGACCTGTGTGGGGCCAGCCTGGTGGCGCAATGGTTAAGTTCGCATGTTTCGCTTTGGTGGCCAGGGGTTCACCAGTTTGGATCCCGGGTGTGGACATGACACCACTTGACAAGCCATGCTTTGGTGGGCATCCCACATATAAAGTAGAGGAAGATGGTCACGGATGTTAGCTCAGGGCCAGTCTTCCTCAGCAAAAAGAGGAGGATTGGCAGCAGATGTTAGCTCAGGGCTAATCTGCCTCAAAAAGAAAAAAAAAAGGTGACCTCTGCCACGCAAACCTAGAGAGGTCACTCTCCATGTTTTGGTGAGTATGAAATTCCAGGAAGTGAGACCAAGTAACTGAGATTGAATTTCTCACCGGCCCAGAGATCTGGCGATTTAAAGATGTTTTAACTAAATTTAAGTAAAATAAAGTAGAGTCACTTGGACACCCCAGTTATGGCAAAATCATGCCTGCTGAACCTAAATTTGTCCATTCTAGGCATGAGCTTATAAGAGGGAAGTGGTGTCACCCAGATTTATAGCAATACTTAGGCGAGTTCTTTAAGATGGGACTTTACAAAATTAAAAAAAAATAAAGTTAAGAAAAACCCTCCATGGAAGGAGAGTTCAGATGTATTTTACCACATGGTTAGTGTAACAACAAATATCGGGGTATATAGTGGAACTCTAATATAAACTGCACTTGCTTTGTGCTAAGGCATCAGGGAGAATCTTTGGAGTGACTAAGAGAATGCTGCCTTACATCTAATTGGGTCTGGATTTACTTCCTTGCATTGTTCAAGCTTGCCTGATTATTTGTGTGAATCCAGCTGATTTTGTTCCTTGTTAATTTCAAAGAACCCAGTTGCTTTCCTTGATCAAGATCCTCTTTGCTGAAAGATATTATGCTTCACAACTGCAAAGGTTCACAAACTTTAAGGAAATCATTGCTAACTGACTTCTCTGGAGTTCCAGAGGTTTTCTCCTTCTTATGGACTTTAGAAATGCCAGCAACCTACTGGATTTATTCTGGGAGAAATGTCTAACTGCTTGGCCCTACAGCGCTCTAACCCAGGGCCTCTTTGTCCTGCAGTGGCAAAGGGAGGGACACTTTAAATTCCCGTTGACGGGCAGAATCAATTCTGGATCAGAATCCCTGGCGTAAAGCAATTCGTTTGGGGGAAGAACAGAGCCTCCATAACGGGCCTGCTCTTTTGTAATGTTTTCCGCTTTGAGCTGTTATCACATGGACTAGCAGGTACTCCTCACTTTCCACTCTCTGTTTTTCTTTTACGCTTGTACTGTAATGTGTACTTCAAGCTAAGCAAGCACATAAGCAAAACTCTGTTTCCTATAAGCAAAGACAAGCTGAAAATATCACTGGCAGATAATCAACATTTAAGCATGAAAAATTCACTTATCACTTCATAAAAATGCTTTTCATAGAATACCCCGTCTAGGCCCAATTTAGTCGCATATTCTAAACTCCACTTCTTAGAGTACTATAGTTTGCTGTTAAAGAACATCATATTTAATTTGTCACATTACATATGCATCTATTGCCAAATGTTTTCCTGTAAGTGTCAGCGACTTCAAAAATGAAATCTTATTTTAACCAGTCAGAGAAAACCCACTATTACCAAAAAAGCCATGCATGAATGATGAGCCATCTCAGGAAGTTTTCTGAAATAACAAATGCTCTGAGAATATGACTCTTTTATACTCCTTTATACTGGTGAAACAAAGCAAAATAAAACATGCCAACCAGAGGCTGCTTAACTTGCTAAATGACAAAAATATCTGGGTACACAGCATCTCTATATTTCAGTAAACAGAGCTCTCAGAAAAAAACATGAAAACTATTAAAATTTTATCTGAGCCAAACTCACTTTCTCCCTATCCTTTTTGGACTGGATGGTAACTATCGGTATCCTGTCAGGTGAGTAATTGTTTCCATTCCAATCCCCACCTGGAGGCAAGGAAGAACCTGAAATGAAGTCTTTATCATTATTAGTTGACTTGGCTTTAAGTTAAATTCGTTTACCCATTTCACTGTGTGACATTAGTGTTTTACTTTTTTGTGTGTGCGAGGAAGATTGGCCCTGAGCTAACATCAGTGGCCAATCTTCCTCTTTTTGCTTGAGGAAGATGGTTGCTGAGCTAACATCTGTGCCAATCTTCCTCTATTTTATGTGGGATGCCACCACAGTGTGGCTTGACTAGAGGTGCTAAGTCCATGCCTGGAATCCAAACCTGTGAACCCCAGTGGCCTAAGTGGAGCTCACAAACTTAACCACTACGCCACCAGGGCGGCCCCTATGCTCTTACTTTTATACGTTTATAAATGTAACATAGTATATGTAGATAGATAGAGATATATACATACATATATATCAACATAGTATTGTATTAACATCATATGTATGTCCTAAGATATTATAATGCTACTATCATTAAAATAAAATATCCTGATTATTTATACTTGCAATATTGTGATTTATAAGAAATATATATATTTGCTTACTCAGATCACCAAAATATATTTCTCATACATATTTGGTCTTCATTCACAGTTCCCAAATCCCTTGGAATTTCTTGAGTGATAAGAGCAATGGGAGCATCTTTTGTTATAATATTTGGTCTCTTTTCCTCAGTTCCTGAAAATGCCTCAGAGCCATAAGGGTGAGAGGAGTGCCTTGTTATTCTTAACAAACCCCTTTCCACCACAACTGGGTTTATGTTAATGAAGGTAACTTTTGGAAAACACCAAAGGACAGGGGCTGATTGCTAGGGGAACCAACCTTGAATAGAGGGTTGGAATTTTCAGTCCCACCCCCCTGATTTCTGGGCACGGGGTGGGGCTAGGGGTTGAATCAATCACCAATGGCCAACGATTTAATCCACCATGCCTATGTAATAAAGCATCTATAAAAACCCAAAAGGAGGGATTTGGGGAGCTTCCAGGTTGGGGAATCAGAGGCTTCCACTTGCCACCATGCAGGGCCCCAAGCTCCACAGGGACCAAATCTCCTTTGTTCAGGATCTCGCCCTATGTATGTCTTCATCTGGCTGTTGATTCATATCCTTTAATATCCCTTGTCATAAGTTGGTGATCTAGTGAGTAAATGAATTTCCTGAGTTCTGTGAGCTGCTCTAGCAAACTAATTGAACCCAAGGAGGGCGTTGTGGGGATCTCTGATTTATCACCAGTCAGCCAAAAATACAGATAACAGCTTGGACTTGCCACAAGCATCCTGAGTTGGAGGCGGGTGTTGGAACCTCCAATTTGTGGCCAGTGGGTCAGTAGCCCAGGTAACAACCTGAGCTTTTGACTGCTGCCTGAAGTGGAAGGTGTCCTTGTGGGACTGAGCACTTTACCTGTGGAATCTGGTTCTATCTCCAGGTAGATAGTGTCAGAATTGAGTTGAATTCTTTGACACCAGGCTGGTGTTGGTGTAAGGAGCCTCCATACACACGTTGGATTGGGTTCAGGAACTCAAAAGAATACTTGCGTATTATAGTACCATGGTAACAATGTAACGTCATATATAGAACACACTTTATATTCATATATACACACATAAATTCTAGCAATTTAATTTTAATTATTATACTATTATAATACCTTAGGATAACCCTCAGGGTTCTTTTATTTTCTTCCTCTTTTTTTTTTTTTTTTTTTTTTGCTTAAAACTGTCTTAGCTATTCACACTTCAAAAAAAGAAATAAGCAAACTAACAAAAAAGAGCAAGAGAAAAATGGAAGAGAGGTAAGAAAAGGAGAAGAATAGAAGGGAAAGAAAAAAATCACATTGGAATTGAAATTATAACTTACTTTGTGGAGAACCGTGTCTTTGTTAAATCAAATCCTCCTCTCCCTGAATAAGATGCGTCTTTCCATTTAGGTCTTTTCTAAGGCCCTCAGCAAATTTTCTTCTCGTCACTACTGCTCATTACTTCTTAAGTTTATCCATAGCTAGTTTATAATTTTGTTGCCATTATGAAAGAGCTCTTTTATTTTCATTATATTTTTAAATGGTTACAGCTTAAACAGTTGAAAAGCTAATATTTTGATCTCCATCTGCTTGAGTCCTTTGTCTGCAACTCAATTGGTTCAGCGTTCTAGAAGTAGCAAGCAAGATAGCGAGAGTCATTTATTGTCCTGTTCCCACTCCAAAAACCTAACAAGTATTTATGCACATTTTCTTCCTTGGCCTGTGGTTGCTAAGCACTGCTTCATAGATTTCCCGACCCTAAACTATTTTGGTTTTTGGTATGGTTCCTACTTCATCGTGATATGTTCTATTAAAATCATGTAGTATTAAATTTGCTAATATCTTTGGAATGTTTACATTGTTTGTCATAATTGAAATAGAACTGCAGCTTTTTCCACTTTGTAAGATTTTGCTACTAGGCTTACATTAGCTAAATTAGAAAGTTTTGCTTCATTTTCTAGGCTCTTCATATTAATTCTTCCTTGAAAGTTTAGAAGAATTCACCTGTGAAACTACCAGGACAGGAGTCTTAAAAAAAAAAAAAGCACAGTTTTTAATTATTTCTTTGATTATTGGTCTTTTGAGGTTTTCTAATTATTTTAGAATCCATTGTATTAATTTATATTTTCTATAAAACATGACATATAATTATGATTTTTAAACGTTATTAATATAATTATATAATCTATTTTTAAAATTGTTATAGATATATTATTGTATTAATGTTCTAATTATTTTTTGTTGAGATTTACCAGGACATTATATTTTCTCATGTTTTTAAAAGGATCAGCTCCTAGCTTTTATGATTATTTATAGATTTTCAGTTCATATTTGCTTATTTTACCTTTTGTATTAATTTCTTTCTCCTGCTTTCTTTAAATTTGACTGCCTGTTTTCAAATGAGGCTTTTTAATAATTTATTTTCATTCATTTGTGCTCAATAATAGAAACATGGGGGCTATCATTTTCTAGAATGGCTTTGGTCCTTTACTGTAAGCTTTGATACGTTGAATTTTTATTGTTCTTACTTTCTGTGTTATCTCTAAGCCATCTAGACTATCTGGAAATTTTCTCTTTTGTCAACAGTTGCTTAGAAGTAGCTAAATTTGTTTTCTTTAAAGTTATACTATTAATTTCCCTTTTTATTTATTTTGCCTTGTGTTCAGTGAGGCTGGTTTGGTTTCAGACTCAGACTTTCTTCAGCTCATTAAAATTTTCCTTATCTTTTCACTAGTAATTCTTCTTCAGCTCATTAAAATTTTCCTTATCTTTTCACTAGTAATTCTTCTCTTTGGCTCTCCTTCTCTTTCTGAAATCTCTATCACATGTATATTTAATTTCTTACTTCTGTTTATACCTTGTCTATTTTTTCATCATTTTTATCTCTTTTTCTCTTTATTTGGGCTCTTAAAGAATTTATTAAACATGTCAAACTTTTACAATTCAATCTGCTGTAATATATAAATCTTTCTTCACTGCCTCTTTCATTGATTTTAATTTGTCAACCATTCTTTTTTTTTTAATCTCCTTTAAATTATAGTTAAGTTTCTCTTAAATGAGTCTCTTTTTATCACTGACCATATTGGTTACATAAACGTAGCATTTCTTAGAATCTTACTGAGCACACAAAAAAGGTTCAAAATTCACTCCTGTTTTTGTATAGTAAGTTCTAATGCTCCAGAGCAGTCCCCTTCCTTTGTAGTAAAATAACTGATATGCCTGATGATTTTTCTGTCTCCTCCGGCACACCTGAGGCAAGGGAAATTCTCTTGCCCACCAGTAGAAGCTAATAGGAAACTGTCAGACTGTGTGAGTTTCTCTGTTCAACCCTTTCTAGAATAAAAACACAAAAATATAAAAAGTTGAGATTTACTGTAATCATACTTTACTAGTTCAGAGGTACAGTGGCCTGGGGAGAAATAGGAAGTGTCTGAAGCCAAAGACAGCAAGTAGTGGCCAGGAATTAGCTGGCAGAGGACCACCAATCTTTGCCTGGCACAGTTGTATTTGTTAGGAGGCAGCCAAAGAAGAGCCCCACTCCTTACCTAGTGGGCCAAGTAGGCAGGGAGTAAATGCCACTTTGGGCATCTCTGCTTGCCATGACCTCCTGGAACCAATTGTGTTTCCCAGAAGCACTAATAGAATCCATATTGTTCTGCTGACTTTGGATGGAGGAGAGGAGGAGTGGATTTTGCCAGGCCTTCTGCACTTGCTCTCAGAACTTCACCTATAGAGGATCATGTGTCCAATCAACCATTTCTTCATTTCAGTCCTGTTTATTCAAGCAACTCCAAATTCCTCAAAGTTTCTCATGTGAGAAAATCACTGCTTGCCGGGTTATCAAATTTGGTGAAAGTTATCCCTTACTTTTATATTCCATGGGTCATTTCCATTCAAGTCATATGATCATTAGTCATATGTGCTTAATTAATGTAAAGCTTTGTTAATGTAGGGCTTTTCTTGTTTGTTTTGGACACTAAAATCCCTTCTATTGACACTCTAAGATATAGTCATATGCTTTCTTCTTCAATTTCTACCTATGAATGTGAAGTTTCTGAAAACAGTGCTTAACAACTGGGTCAGTTTGTCCTTTGACATCTGGGAAAATACTAGACTTCCTTTGGTTCATGAGTGGAAGAAAAGTCTATGCTGCTCTCTTCACATTTTCCCAGCTTCCGGCATCTTCCAAAACAGCTGCAAAGAGAGTTTTGTTCCAGCACTTCAGAATTCCCTTCAGCCTTTTTGTTCAGAGAAGATATATTTTTTCCATGGATTAACAATAATCCATCCCATTACAACATCCAGAAAAAATTATATTTTAATCTAAAAAGTAGACTACATGGGAGGTTCATTCTTTATAATAAAGGGAACGATTTCATTTGTAGATTGAAACCATTAAATAATATTACTGTAATGCATATATACTTTCTTGACAGTAAAAGCAATAAAACATATGAAGGATTGAGTTGGATATTTTCAAATAACATATAAAGAAATTTCAAAGAAAAGATATAGAAGTCCTTTTAAGATAAACCTTCAGAAATGCATTTTTTTCAGATCTTCTCGGTGGCCCGGGGTTCGCCGGTTTGGATCCCAGGTGTGGACATGGCACCGCCTGGCACGCCATGCTGTGGTAGGCATCCCACATATAAAGTAGAGGAAGATGGGCATAGATGTTAGCTCAGGGCCAGGCTTCCTCAGCAAGAAGAGGAGGACTGACAGTAGTTAGCTCAGGGCTAATCTTCCTCGGAAAAAAATATTTTTTTTAAAAAGGAGAAAAGGAAAACATTAAATATATTCTTGACATGGACAATTTAAAACAATTTATACAATGTACTTATGATAGTCACTATAAAATCCATTTGAATTTACTACTTCAGATCTTTTATACCATCTTTAAGAACATAATTGCCTCCAACCCTTTAATGTTTCAGAATATCCCACTTGATATCTACTTTATTGAGAATATTGAAGCCATCCCTTCTGTAACTTCATCTTTCCTTCCCAAAAGCCCAACTTGACTTTGCCTTTTGTAGGTGAGAAGGGGAAAAAAATTAGCTCTCCAATGTAAGGATAATTTTTCAAATTTACTGTTTTTAAAAATGAAACTTTTATTTTAGAATAGTTTGTGATTTATAGAAAAGTTGCAAAGATAGTATAGAGAATTCCCATAAACATCACATCCAGTTACATTAGTAATGTACACTTGTCACAGTTAATGAGCCAATATTGACACATTATTGACTGAAGTCCATACTTTATTCATGTTTCTCTTGTTTTTAATACCCTTTTTCTGGTCCAGGACCTCATTCAGGATACCACACTATAATTAATCGTCATGTCTGCTTAGTCTCCTTTTGACTGTGACAGTTTTTCAGACTTTCCTTGTTTTTGATGACCTTGACAGTTTTGAGGAGTACTGGTCACTTTGCAAAATGTCCCTAAAATGTAATTTGTCTAATATTTTTCTCATGATAGCACAAGGGTTATAAGTTTTGGAGAAGAAGACCACAGAGGTAAAGTGTCATTTTCATCACATTGTATCAAGGGTACATGCTGTCAACATGACTTCATTGTTGGTGTTAACCTTGATCACCTGATTGAGGCACTGTTTTCAGGTTTCTCCCTTGTAATTATCTTTTTTCCCCTTTTCCATGTTCTTCTCTTTGGACAGAAGACACTAGACACAGGTTACACTTAAGAAGTAGGGAGTTATTCTCCTTCTTGAGGGGAGAGTATCTACATAAATTATTTGGAATTCTTCTGCATGGGAGAGTTGTCTATCCTCCTCCATCAATATGAATATATTCATTTATTTATTTATATCAGTATGCACTCATGAGTACTTATTTTATACTTTGGATTATAATCCAATACTATACTATGTCCTTGCTCAAATTGTTCTAATTTTGGCCATTGGGAGCTCTTTCAGTTGGTTCCTGGGTCTCTTTGACGTACTCCCACCATTGGTGTATGTATTTTTGTTTGTTTGGTTTGGCTGTTTTAGCACTTCCTTACTTTATGGCACTATAAGATGCTCTTGGATTATCTTGTCTATTTCCTACCCTAGCCCTGGAATCAGTCATTTCTCCAAGGAGCCTTGGTTCCTTTTACTAGAGAATGGCATTAAAAACCAAGACCTAGGTGCTAGGTGCAAATTTACTTTTAAGTGGCAATTGTGATGTAGTGGGAAGTGTTCCTGAATTGTATTCAAACTTGGAATAAGGAGAAAGAGGTTCAAAACCTGGTTCTATCATTTTTGAACTGTGTCATCTTGGCTGTGTTACTTGGCTTCCCCTTAGTTTTCTCCTATGTGGTAGTATTAATAACAGGTAACCCCTGTAGAGCAGGCTTTCTCAACCTTTACATTGACATATGTGCCAGATACCTCTTTGTTGTGAGGAGCTCTCCTGTGCATTGTAGAATATTTAGCAACATCCCTGGCCTCTACCCACTATATGCCAGTAGCATGCACCCATCGTGATTATCAAAAATGACTCCAGACATTGCCAAATGTCCCCTGGAGGACAAGATTGCCCCCAGCTAAGGACTACTGTTGAGAATACTTATCGTGTATCAGACATTAAGTGTTTCAAATGAGCGATTTCTTTAATGTTTACAAAAATCCCATGAGATTGGTATTATTTTACAGGTGAGGAGATGGTAAAGGAAAAAGTAAGAAACTTGCCCAAGTTTTCATAGCTAATTAGATGTAGTGCTGAGGTTTGAGCCTAGAAAGTCTGACTTTGAAACTCATGGTATTAACAAAAATACCACGACTGTGTCTGTAAA